ACGAAGTGGACAACAGAACAAATGACGCTGATTAAGACGTGCCACCTGAAGAAGCCACCATCGAAGAAGAAACTCTACTCAGTTTTGAGAAGGAAAACGGTGAAGCTTTTGGTAAAGTTACTACCACTGATGTGACTGTTATCGATGATGGGACATTTACTGATGAAGCGGATGAACCCCACCTGAAGCAGAAGCCAATGTAACAGAGACCAGTACGGAAGAAGATACGTCCCGTAAAATTAAGAGACTTTGTTGAATTGTAATTTTGTGTTTGTAATTCTGTACATTTTAATTAAGTTATTGTTATTGGTTTATTGTATGTGGTTATTGTTTGGGACGAACAATACTAAGGAGGGGGCAGTGTTGCGTCATCGAGTCACATGACTACTGTGACGCAACGTTTCTAGAACTATCATGTACTTTGGCGAATGTTCTAGTTCTTACTAGATATAGGGTAGGCTGGTATATAAAAGAGGGGAATGTAATGTCTGGGTAGATAGTGTGTAATTGATCTGCAGTCAGAAGTATTATTGACGTTCGTTGATATAGCGCTTGTTTTAGCGCGATTGTTGAAGTTGAGTGTTTCGGTAAAGTTATATTCGGAAAGAATAAACCAGTTTTATTAAGTAAAGACTTGTGTCGTTAAAATTTCATCGGAACAAAGTTACGAAAAAATCAATTAACAAACGGAGACGTAACAATATTTTAAATCTTAATTGCAGTTGTACATTCTATCTCTTGTGATCACAGGGGATGAGCGCAGGGTTTTATTTGTAAACGATAACTAACGTCCTTTGGTTTAGATGTAGAGTCCTTTAATTTGACTTTTTACTTAATTTTTCATCATTTTCTATAAAGCCAATCGACAGTTAAGAAATCATAAAAAATGAAACAGCAGCAATAAGCGTGATAGGTCAATGAATAAAATCACATATAGTTACGTTAAATTTTAATACTAAATGTATTGTGTAATTATGACAATTAAAACTTGAATTTAAAATAAAACTGCCAGTTTCTTCAGAACATCACAAGAAGTTTATACGATGACACAATAATGCCAAAGTTCGCAAATTAAAGTCCCTTCGCACCGCATTGACAGTGATGAAAATTCTTGATAAATCAAAAAATGAAATGTATCGGTATTGAACCAATTGCCTGTGTGAATCTTTAAGGTATAAATATACACTGTATCCAACGGACTAAGTTTTGGTTGTTGTTAAGCACATACTATACCATAGGCTATGTGTGCTCTGCCAACCACGGGTATCGAAACCAGAGTTTTAGTGTCTTAAGCCTGCAAACTTACCCCTGAGCCATTGGGGGCGAAGAACTAGACCGCCGATAAGTATGTAAATATTAATAGTTTGTTTGTTTATTTGTAATTAAGTACAAAGCTACACAATTGGCTATCTGTGCTCTGCGTACCACGGGTATCGAAACCGGGATTCTAGCGTTGTAAGTCCGCAGATATGCCACTAGGGGGCGTAAATATTGATACAGGAGCTTAAAAAGAAAAATTTTATTTTTCGGTCTTTTTTGCAATTAATTTTTAATTTAAAGGTTTAAAGCTTAAATATGTTAATAGCTAATTATTTACTAGAATCTTGAGCTTTAAGTGTTTTTAATAAAAGATCCAACTTTGAGTTAGGCTATTGTTTTAAAGTTCACCAATCTCATAAAAAGAAAAGAAAAAATAGTACCACTCTTTATAAACCACAATCGAATCGTCGCGTTGACAACACTGTCCTCTGCAATCTGGAAACAACGTGCAAAAAGAGAAATCTATTAAAATGGCGGAATGTGAGTTCAATGTTTTGTAAGATAGAAGCCTAAGTAATTGCTTATAAATTATAATATATGTTAAAACAGTAAAAGAACTATGATTGATTACTTTATTTTTAACTCTATTTATATATATTATTTACAATTAGATATTGATTACCTGTTATGGTATAAACATTTAACTTGTTTGGTTTAACTTAAAAATAAAAGTTAAACTTTTAAAGTTTAAAATTAAAATTTCAACTTTATTCTTAATACAAGTTACACTTACAACTTACAAATCTCAATGATGAAAAACATGGAATCAAAATTTTTGACATTAACAATAACATTGGCGTGTTTAATATTGTAACGGAAGTTAAATTGTTTGTTTAAATTTAGTGTCTGTATTAGTGTATAATACAAAACATGGGATCAAAATTCATATCATTGTATCAGTAACTGAGTATATTGAGTAACGTGCTTAACATTGTCATTGATAATGACTCGATATAACTATTACATTGGTATAAGTTATAACGAATATTTTGTTTATGTAGACAGTCTTTATGTTCAAGTTAAAATTATCTTATTATTCAAGATTTATAATTTAAAGATTTTTGTTATAACAAGCATGCTAACATCTTATTTCTTTTAATCTTGGACAGGATATTGTGATGGCTGATTAAAGAATTTTACCAGTGATGTATATAATTTTGAAATAATCGACAGTATTTATTTTTGACAAATGTGACTATTATGGGCATTTTGAGTAAAAAATTGTGTAAAATTACATATGTTGGAAAATTAATATGAATAATATATTTTACAATACATAAGAACTATTGCTTCAATTAAACCATAAATCATAACATAACATGGTACCTAAGCTGAATATTAAATTTTTGACCCTGTAACTCAAGAAAAACAAAATGGCCACCTAATTGCCAATTTTGGGCACTGTCGTGCTTGACGCCACTAAAAAGTTTTATATATGAAACTGTAGAAGTTATTTAAAGAGTATATATAAATATATGTCAATATTATTTTATATCCTGGTTTTGATGTTCTGAATGCTTAATTTGTAGTTTAAAGGCTGAATTTTTATGTTCAATTGCTATATTTAATAACTCAACATGGTCTGTAAATTGCATATTACAACATTGTGTCTACATCTATTAATCTGGATGTGATTCGAGAGATACCCTTGTTCAAAGTCTACCCTTGTAGACTTCAAAATAAAAATAAAAACAAGATCTTTGATTACCACTTTTTTAACAAAGTAAACAGTGAAGATTCCCAATAATGCTAATGCCCTCCCAAGATATAAAATTCAAAGAGGAAACTACAAAAATCACCTTTATTTTGGCATTGCTATAAGTCATGCACATGTAATATTGACAAATTATGATTACTGAAAGAATGGCTTATATGGTTACAGTGACAATACTATTCTACTTTTCAATAATATCTATCAGTAAGTCAATTTTCAACAACGTGAAGACTTGCATCTAACAGTGTTGTATATTATAATGCACCTCATTTTGATTTTGACTAACTGCATTTTTAGAGTTGTCATTTACACAAACTTTCCAAAAGGGCTTCTCATGAGTACAAACAACCTCTGGGAATGTCAAATTGCTTGCCCGAAACAAGTATACTGTATTCATACAAGGATTGTACTCATCTTTCTGCTGCTTACAAGCAATGGGAAATCTTGCACTGCTTTTGGAATGATCAAGAAATCATTTGCAGGCAGATATTTGGGATGAGACTTAATGACATCGGAATGGATTGTGCACCTGAATCACTATGTCTCCATCTCATGTCCACCAGGGAACTGGTATGGGACAGGTAGTACTTCTTCGTATCATGGATTGATAGCATACTCGCATCAGATGGAAGTGAAATGCATCACTTGTCAGTGACATGGCTTCAGGTTTACCAGTTGTGGAGAACAATATATATATACTTTGCTGCATCAACAGAGTCTGCTTTGGGTACCTTGTATATTCTACAGGCAAACTTCTCTGCAGATTCAATTATCTGTTCTGTGAGCTCACCACCTCCCAAGTCCTTCAGCAATTCATGGTGCTCTTTGAAAAGTTTCCTTGATGTTTGCTTGGAGTGATGCGCAGTGTAAGAGGCAGTATCACACCTTGTTAATGCATGGATTGGTAACAAAGCTTTTGCTAAATCTTTTGTTATGTTGTTGAAAACAGCATCAATGGTTATATACTGCCTTTTCTATGATGTACCAGACATCATCCACAGGTGTTCACATCGTGCATGTGGGAAGGGAGATACTAGAAGCAGGAGAAGATCATTGTCTCTAGATGACAACAGCAGTATTGAATTGACTCTGGACTGCCTGTAGCACCAGCCTTGTGTCAGCTTCTTCATGTGTGAATCTCATAGGAGTTACATCAGTTCTTCTGAAGTTCCTCTCTGAAGAATCCTCCAGCAACATCAATCTTTTTATCCTTAGGTGCTAGAGAAAAGCAGTTTTTCAGACAAGAAATATTCGAGGTCTGCTGTATTATCTGGCAAAGATAGTAAATTTGTCCAATTTTTTGGGAGAGGCACATTACTGCCCTCAACAACTCATCTGATTGGTTGAGCTGCTTTGGTGCATTCTGTCCTGGTGGTGGTCTTGATGGTGTATTCTCTGTATCTGATGAAGACAATGTCTACCCACTGATAATTAAAGCCAGCATGCAGTACTGCTTTAAAAAGTGTGTCTGCTAGATCCCCAGAAGTCATTGCATTGGCAGTGCTTGTCCATCAATGATGAGGCAAGATGAATGATCTTGAAGTTCAATAGCTTCAGGACAGACAATGCCCTCTGTTATATCTGCCAGTACTGACTTGTTCCCAGTGCATAGAGAATCATTCATCTCTGCAAGTGATACAGGCACTGGCAGAAGTTCGTGTTTCACTATACAGGGCAAATCAACTGATCGACCTCCCTCATATGCAATAATGAGACATTGAAGGACATTTCTCTTTGCCTTCAGAATAGTTTTCTTGTCTTTAACAATATCATACAATGTTACAGATGTGGGGGCATTGAAACTTTAGGCTTGTCATCCTGTGCAGGTGCCACTAATCTACCCTTAATGTGTTTATTTACCTGTTGTTGTCTAAGATCTTTGGCACAAAGCAATGAGTTTTGAATTGCCTGTTTTGATAGATCTTTAGTGGCAATATTTTGTAATAAGCCAGGATGTGAATCGGATGAAATCATGTTACCTACTTAGTGCTGAAACCACAACTATCTGGAAGAAGAAATATATGCATACATGATTGCAACCATGCATACATGCACACGCACCCATCCACCAAATCTAAACTGCCTTACCACACTCACAGTAACACACGTTAACTCATTCACCCAACTTACAAGTATACACACACCAATATTTATGGTGATTCATAAGCTTGAATCATTTCTATACTACACTTATTTTGTGGGGCCATAAAAATTAAGTGTCAAAATATTTCTGGCTTACAGATTATAAAACAATATCACCATTAGGATAAGAATTTGGCATGTACTAGGCCTTTTAAAGCAATATTCAGAACTTGCATTGAGGAATTGTCTTGACTGTGCACTTGTGAAAAAAATCAAACAGTGTTTCACATAAACAGAGCCATTACCAAAGTAAACATTTAGTGGATATTTTTCATTGTATAATATGAAAAGTCAGTAATTAATAATGGGACCTATGTGCTAAAAGTTTTGGATTCAATATGATTCTATTATATCCATAGATATTTTGTCAACATTTGTTCACTAATTTATTCTGATTTAACAGGTTTGAATGCCCCAAAATTTTCTGTGCTCAAAATAAATATAGAAAAAGGCTAAACATTCTTAATTTGGTGGCCATTTTTTTTTCTGAATATTTGAAGGTCAAGAACTAAAAATTCAACTTGGAAACTTCAATTTTCAGTTTTAGCATACCCGAATTATGTTAAAAAGTCAGGTTCCCAACTTTTACTCCAAAATACCTCTTGATATCATTTCCAGGCCCCTTTCTCAGAAATCTGTCCAGTCTATAATAATGAAAAAATTTTAATGTTTGAATATTAAAAAAATGTTTAATTCTGTCTACAGATTTTCATTATAATTGCATTAAAAAACATTATCTTTTATTAACTTGAAACTAAGTGTTATTGATGTTATTACTTTTGCTAATGTTTTATCCATGTAATCTGTTAACATTATCATTTACAGTTAAATTTTAATAAAAACAGTAGTTCCAGGTAACCTTGCTTTTGACTTGATGTTAACACAAGAAGTTAATCTTTAGATACTTAAACACTAGCTCTTGGATGTAACCAATACATTGTTATAGTTGTTTAATGTTAAATAAATAATAGTATCACAGGAAAACCATTAAGTTAAAGCATATTTTTTGTTTCACTTAAAAAGTACAAATGGTATACTTATATATGTTGGAACATTAATATGAATAATATATTTTGCAATACATAAGTAATATTGTTTCAATTAAACCATAAGTCATAACATAACATACAGACAACAAGGGACTTTTTGGACCTCCAAGGCTGTTCTTGCACATCTACCCCAAGAAAATAATAAAATTAAACCCAACCTTTTATTTTCTAGGAAAATCTTGATTATCCCTTTAATTTCTTTTTACCCCTTGATGGGAAGGTTCTGCGTATATAGTTTACCTTCTCTCGGATCTAAATGTTGACCCACACGCTAGCTGGGTGTGTAGCCTGTTAAGGGGGTACAGGATCCTCATGATTCAGTGGTGGCTGTCACTGCAACAGACCACTTTGGCCTTGGAGTGATTCCCCATTGTTGATCAGCTGTTCGGTTGTTGCAAGGATCCATGAAAATCTGGCGCAGCTGCACTTTCATCAATGTGTTAAGCTTTTGATAGTGTAGCAATCTCTTGTAGGACTCCATGGTGGATGGACTCTGTATTTTGATTCTTTTTTTTTATGGACAAAGCAAGCCAAAAGATCAAAACAAATAACTATTGGTAAATGACCATGTATTC